TTCTGTATTTAGGACAGGATCTACAGCGTCTGCCGGGTCTCACTACATAGATCATACTCGTAGTGATTCCCCTGTTTTCAGCCTCCCAAGTGCTGGGATTACAGGCACCCGCCACCACACCCAGTCTCCATTGTCATCTCAGCCTGCCCCACAGGTGGGGCCAGCACAGCACGCCAGGGATCGAACCCCGGCTGATGCACTCTGCCTAAGCAGGCGCTTTAGTCTGCTGAGCTATCAGGCTGGCCCTATATTTTATACTTTTGTTTGGGGAGGGGAAAAAGTAGTTTTCTTGAATTATATAGCAAATTAAGTATTGAACTATTTTTAGAAATTACTTATGTTTTTATGCCAGTTATTATTATTTAGTACTGGAGCAAAGAAAAGTTTGATAGGGATTGTTGGATTCTGTGATCAAAGTGGGGAAATATGGGGCTGGTGAGATGGCTCAGTGGTCTAAAGCACCTATTTAGAACAAGCTTAGCTAAAGCCCAGAGACCGCGGTTCAATCCCCCAGCACCACATGTCAGCCCGCCCCGCCCCCTGGTGGGCTGAGTTGGCCACACACACACACACACACACACACACACACACACACGCATAAATAAATAAAATTTAAAAAAAAAAAAGTGGGGAAATATGAGTGTGATGAGAGATAGGAGCTTAAATTAAGATCTCCAGGCCAGGGAGATGGCTCAGTAGAATAAGCGCTTGCCTGAACCTGAGTTTAATCCCTGGTTCTGCTAAATAAAATAAAATTAAAATAAAATAAAATAAAATGAAATGAAATAAAATAAAATAAAATAAATTAAGATCTCCAAAGGCTTCTGAGGATGAAAGCCCTCGCGGAAGTCACTGTTAGGCCCTGTGCCCCCACTGCATTTTGTTTTCCTGATACCTTGTACTGCTGTAATGAGATGACTATGATGGTTTTAAAATGAAGTTTGGCAGGATTAGTTAAGTTTGTTTGTTTCATACTGGGAATCAAACTCAGGACCTTGTGCTTACCAGGCAGGCACTTTACCCCTGAGCTATATTTCTACCCTCAAATTTGGTTTAATGCAACAAAAGGATTATTATGAGTTATTCATAATATGTCATGTGCTGTGTCCTATCAGTGTCATTACTCATCTGTATGTAAGTAATGGAATTTCTATGTTTATGTGTTTGGAAGGTTTTCCTGCAGCCCGAAGATGTCACAGTTGTGTTCAAATAAAAAATGGTAAGGATTTTAAATGACATTTTTATTCCATTTCTGTAATTGTAGCTGCTGAGAATGATTTATTTTCTAATGATTGTGCCTCAAAAGAGATGTATAATTTTGGGGAAAGTCTTGAAGGTTAACCTTAACAGAAAAGCTAAAAGTTATGCATCTCTTGCCATTTTCCAAAATGTAAACTGGTTTAGTGTCTGGATTCCCTCAGTTATAAAACAACTCAAAAGTTGGTGATAAATAAGCTTGTATTATACCTCTGATCTTTTAACAGCTGACCTCAGGAGGCATCTGTGATTATATTGTAATACTAATAATGGGGGGTTTATATGATACAGACCTCAATGGATGTTGTATTAAAACCGTAATAACTCCTTCAGAGTATTATTTCATAAAGTTGATTCTGTTCTCTAATTTCAAGTAGAACTCTGAGCTTAATTTTTGGCCATATAACAACAAAGGCATAAAGGCATTGGATGACTTCAGAAAGGAGCAGTACTGACTACTTATCTAAGTATAATAAAAGACTCTTTGTCCAATAACTTTTCTCTGAATAAACAGTTTATTTTACTATTTGATACATCTTACATTTTTTTCTAGGAAGAAGGTGTATATGCATGAGTTCGAAAGACTTACCATTTTGGCAGCATAATTGAGATTTCATTTGAATTATTCTGCCATCTCTAGTACACCTGTGCTTTCATTATACTTCTATTGCTGAGCTAAATCCCCAGCCCCTTGAAAATGCTTTCTTGACCCCCCTGAACTGCACACTGCAGTGAGAGTTTCTCCTTAGGTTAAGGAGGACAGTTATCTCTAAGGGCACATAAATGCTCTTTCCAGGACACTGATTAAAATGAATTTGAAAACTGGTGGTCTGTAGGTGTGTTATGTTTGGATTCTGTGTGCATTAAGTTTTTTTAAACTCGTAGCCAACTCTTAAAATGTTTACTGAACATGGTAGCACACACTTGTAATCCAAAGCTACTTGGGAAGCTCAGGCAGGAGGACCACAAGTTCAAGCCAACCTGCAAGACTGTGTGGAATATGGCAAGACTCTATCTGAAAAGAAAAAGTACTTGGGGACTGAGGAGACAGCTCAGTGGCATAAGTACCTGCCTGGCAAGCACAAGGTCCTGAGTTCAATCCCTAGTACAAGGATATAAAAGGCCTGGGAATGTGGCTCAGTGGTTGAGTAGCCCTGGTTTCAGTCCCCAACCCATCCCTTCTTCCAGTAGCTCTTTCAATAACACCATACCCATCCCCATTCAGAATTTCAACTTCTCTTGGAAAAGTGAGGGCCAGGTGTGGTGTATGCTTGTAATCCCATACACTGAGGCAAGAGGATCACCATGAGTTAGTTCAACACCAATGGTACCCCTGGTGCTAGAGCTACGTAACCACCCCCTTTCAGAGCTTGTTTGATTCCCCTGGGGCTCCTGTTTATTCCCCATAGGCCCTCTTGTTCATTCCCTTTCTGTGCATGAAACCTAGAGGTGTTTGAATTTAAAAAGCCTGACAGGCATGTATCTATAGTCTCAGTAGACTCTGATGTGGTGTCCCAGTTCTATCGAGACAAGCCAGTAGCACAAAAGACCACGCAGCTGAAGTCCTCTCCATGGCACAGTCTGCTTAATTAGCAGCCAGCCATGTGATCTACACTATACTGTGTGCTGTAGCTTTGGCTCTTTTCTGTTGTGTGATCTTGGCTCTCTCTTTTCTTGGCAGATGTGTTTATTTGTGGGGGCTATAATGGAGAAGTCATCCTGGGAGATATCTGGAAGTTGAACCTACAGACCTTTCAATGGGTAAAACTCCCTGCTACCATGCCAGAGCCAGTTTATTTTCACTGTGCAGCTGTTACACCAGTAAGTTTTTATTTTCATGTCTTCCTTACGTAGTTGTAGGTCATAAACAAATCTTTTTAGAAAAAATACTAGCAAGAAAAAAGATGCTGATATTAGATTTAAGAATATGTTTTTACATAGCTTACTGTTGAAGCTAGTTCTTCCTCAGAGAAAAGGGGATGAAAATACCATTGTATCCAAATTAGAAGAAACCAAATATAGAAGAACACTACATGCAACATTTTAGGTCCAGACAGTTATATCAAAGGTATTTCCTGGGAGAGCAGAGCAGCTTTACCTCTGACACCATATTATTGAAGACACCACTGTAGAGGCCTTTATTTTTATCTTTGTGTTCACAGCACTTGACACATTGGATATATTGTCTAAGGTTAATGTTAATGAATAGAAAGTAAAGTTGTTGAAGTAAAAAAAACCCAAAGAACCCTATAGTTTTTCTTAGTAACATTAATTATTTAAACTCTATTGATCTCTGCATATGTGGGGATCAGTGACAAATTCTTCTGGAGTTGGGGGTTGGATCCAGGCCCTCATTCATGCTGGGCAAGCACTTTATTACTGAAACTTGCTTGTTTCTTATCTTGATTCAGTTTCCTGTGCTTTATTTCCTTTTCTTGCTGAATCTTTGGCCTTGATGTATCTTTCTGTTCTGTTTGAATGTGTCCTTTTCTGACTGCTATTTGTTCATAGGCTGGTTGCATGTACATTCATGGAGGAGTGGTGAACATCCATGAAAACAAACGGACTGGGTCATTGTTTAAGATCTGGCTGGTGGTGCCTAGCCTGCTGGAACTGGCATGGGAGAAGCTGCTCGCCGCCTTCCCCAATCTAGCAAACCTCTCTCGAACACAGCTTCTGCACCTTGGACTAACACAGGGCCTCATCGAGCGCTTGAAATGAGGATTTCTGGACTGTTCATTGATACTGGAAATGTTAATTTAAGAGACTCTTTTATTTATGGGCAGTGTAGAATGTGCTACAAAGAGGATTGGTACCCTGATCAAGGCCTTATTCAGAAAATACATCAGATGCCTTTCTGTAAATTGGTTTTTTAAGTTTATGGACATATCACTTTCCCATGAGCTTTTTCTTTGCTTCTTTCCCCTCTGCCCTAGTATACACCCACATACTTACTCACATATTCCCTTTTACTTGATAGAAGTAAGGGAAAGCCTGAAGGTACCTTATTAATTTTCTGAAATAAGATGTGATAAAGAAGTTTTTAAAAAGGAATTCTGAACATACTGACCATGTCAACCAATGCTCCACAAATTAAAATGTTATTATTAGCAAAGATAAAATTTAAAAATCCAGCAACAGCTACAAGTAGTAGTTTGGAGGATAGAATGAAAGACTAAATGTTATAGTCTTGCAGGTTATCCTTAAACCTGGGTGTTTAATTTGGTCTTTTCAAGATATGTCTGAGTAGCAGGCTCTAATGGCAGCAGTGGCTGTGTTGCTGCATGGGTACTGAAACCTGTCCTTTGGCTTTGGAGGAAAGTGAGGTAGCTCAGCAGTGATTTCTCCTCATAGTACCAGCAATGGACAGAGTTGACTTCTCAAAAGACGTGTGTGTGTTATAGTCTTTATGTTATTCTTACATTGAGAAACTTACAATTGTCAAAAAAAAGTTTTAAATTGAAAAACCTGTGATTGTCAGAGTTCTTTTAGGCAGTTTTGAAATTTTCTGATGCTTATTAAGGTTTTAAATATCTCTCTGAATTCTTCACAGGGAATTATAGATCCTAAACATGCAGTGTGAAGGCCAGAGTGGGAGAGCGGGACAGCGAGCACCTGTGCCCTTTGGACTTGCTAACTTGGCTTCTACTTTGACTCTCACATTGGCCATTTCCTTCTCAGCACTTGTTTCCGTCCCACTCTCTAGACCATGTCCCTGCCATTTTCTCAGGCAGGTGGCCCATGATTACTCTAGCTTGTTGCCTGTTTTGCTGTCTGCTTCATTGTGCAAGGTGCTGTTCTTGTCTAGTAATAGGATAAAAGGGCTTGAAAGAAAACCCACAGGTTGTCCTTCCTCATGAACCAAATATCATTTTAAAACTAGCACAAGGAAAGAATATCATTTGCTTTTTTTTTTGGTGTGAAATTTTAGTTCTGTTTTGTTAATTCTCAGAATGACCTATGTCTTTACATGCTTTGCCATCATACTGCTAGAGGAGGTGAGCAGGCTGCTCTGTGGCCCTGTGGGCACACAGGTGTTCTCAAGGTGCTGAAGGGGCACGGGCAGCACAGTATGATGCTCCCACAGTCCCCTGATTACAGGACACCCACACAGGAGATTTCAGACATATTTTTTCCTTTAAGTGCCTCTTTTCACCCTGCTTTTAAAATCCATTTTTCTTTTACCCCAGAAGGAATCTCTGGCTGATGTGTATATTTGAAATATCTTTGAGTTATGGCTAAAAAGTTACCATCTGATGTTCAATTCTGGGGAAGAGAAAACCAGTTTTCTATTCTTGGACTCCTAACTTCTAAGCCTTATTCTGTCTCATTCATGTTGGATTGAGTTCATAGAACATGTATTCTGCAAAGCCTTGTAAGAACTCAGTCTGGGAGTTTGGGTCCTTTCTTGGGGGTAAGAAGTGTGAGGGAGACACAGGAAAAAGAGCAGCTCCCCATCTTCCCCTACAGCTTGCCATTCCCAATCCTGAAGCATTTAACCTTTTGCCACCATCTGCTAGGAAAGTCAGTCAGAGCAGCCCCACCAGTTCAAAACAGCCTTGCTGCATGACTCCAACCTGCTCTCTGGATATGTGGTAGAATTATATTCCAAATTAAACATGTGATGCTATTTAAAGCATCAAAAGGATTTTTGCCATTGAAATACACAAGGACCAAAGACTGAATGCTCAATTTCTACGCTTAGGCTGCCTGGGGCCTTGGGCCATGGGCAGGTCTCTGCTGCACAGAAAGCTGGAGACAAGAGTCTGAGTCAGTCCATGCTGGCTGGCATTTTTAAGAAAACGCTTCTGAGTACAGTCTTCTTCAAGGTAGATGTTGGAGGCCTGGCACTGAAGCCCTTGTGTGTGACATTTTCAGAAAAGAACATGTTCTTGGTCTAATGTGTCTTTTTATAACACTAGAAAATGATGTGGTACAACCAGCTTGGGAGTATGGTAGAGTCTCTCATATGTGCCTGCTTTCAGTACCAAATGAGACTGTGTCTGAGTAGTTAGATGAGGGTGACTGGACTTTATAGAAGGGTCACTGGGCACTTTACTGGATCTCTAACCAGCACTTGAAAACAAGTTATGCTGTTACTTGGTGTGGGAAAGGCTATGCCTGCTGCTTTTCTGCCTCTCCACAGAACTCCCCTCTTCCTGCAGTCCTGGAAACTGAAGTGCAATATATAGTAATACCTATGGATATATACAGAGTATGTAGGGGATGTGACTATAAAGCAGCTAGCTTTTTTTGTATCTTGAGGAAGCCAGCTCACTACTTTAGAATAAAATTATGACAACAGTTGTCATTGTGATCACTTGGCTCTTAGCAAAGCTGAATTTTCAAGTCCATGTTTTTTTACTCCAGTTCATAGAGACTTACTGTTCCTTGGGTTCATTAGAGTTGAAATTTTTCTCCAGTTACCTTTGTACTATGTCCTGTGTATATATGTCCTGCCCAGGAACAAGGAAGTCCACTTGTAAGGCATTTCTTAAGTGGAGAATCAAAACCTAATATTTAGTGCTGTCAGTTCTTTCATATATACACAAACTTATCTGAAACTGTACTACCTTATTAAATGATGAAAATGCTTTCCTCATTTTATGAAGTATTTGCCATGCCCTGAATATATTGCAAACTGATGTAGACTAGATTGAGATTTTAATCATTGTCCAGGGGCCAAATAAAATCCTTTCCACTGGCAGAATCTTTTTTTCAGGGCCCCAATCACATGAAGAACAAATTTGCTCTACACCAGTCACATCCATTGCATAGTGAGATTTTAAGGTATAAAAATAAACATATTAACATTTCTAAGCAAAAGGTATGTTGACAGTGACCTTTGGGTACCCAGAGCAGCAAGAGTAAAAAGCTCAGATTACAGAAGTCTGTAGATAATCAGTGTTTCAAATTTTCTATCAAACTGTTGACTCATTTATATCTCTTTTTCCACTTAGTCCCATTCCCATGGCCACTTCCTTTTCAGTGGAATGAGGCATTAGGACAGGGAACATCACAGAGGGGCTAGCAACTAGCAAATACATATGCAGCCCATGTTGCTATACTTGGTTCATTATTGGCGCTACTGTGAGGAGCCACAGTTGGTATCCCTGAGTTTAGGTATCAGTCTTGGGCACCATCTCCTGCCAGGTCCTAGACTGACTCCCCTAAACCACCAGAGAACTCGTAGCACCTGTGGGAAGAACAAGCTGTGTGTGAAAGGCACAGGGATCCCATCATTTTAACACATTTCTTTGGCTCTTGACAAATCCTTGCTGTTTTGTTTCTTCCTTTGGTGATACTGTCTCCACCATATAGCCTGGCATATAAGAAAGCTTGGATTACTCTCTGACTGTGTTGGTCTGTATACCCTAAAAAACCACTTTGTTTTTACGTGTTGTTATGGATGTTTAGAGTGGCACTCTCTACTTGCCAGCAATCTGATGTAGCACAAAAAGCCATTTTTCTTTTTCTTTCCTTTCATTTTTCTGGCATTGAGCTCCAGGGTACATGATGGCTTATGGCCTTATGACCATATGTTCCAAAAAATGGTCACCATAAGTTTAAATTTTGTTGGTTCCCTGAATGCCTTGGAACTCTCAGAATGTTGGCAGGGCCTGGGGAAGGCTGCTTGGAGCTCTGCAGCCTCGATGTGCCGGCACCAGATCATGCGCAGCAGTGGCATTTCCCTTCTGAGGTTGGAGACTTGGTGGAGAACAACCTTTCCTCATCTGGTGTTATGAACAGAAGTTCTAAGTCATGCTTAAAAAGTAATATTCATCTTTTTGGTGTAAATTTCATGTTTTTAATTTTTTAAAAACTTGTGAAAAGTTCTTTATTGGCCCTGCTTAGTCAGTGTACAGGGTGAGTCAGAGGCAGTTTTCAGAGAGAAAGCCAATTTCACCAAGCGGTAGTGACTGCTGATTTCCTAATTAAACATCTAGAATATAAAGGAGGCATCAGAAAATATGCTGACTCTCCCTAAGGCCCCTGCCATGCAAAGAGCTGCACAGGGAAATGCAGGCACCTCCCTGTAACAGCGCCTATGGTGGCAAGCCACTGGGAGAACCAAGCATGAAAGAGGGGCCTCTCTAAATCATGTCTCTGAGGGGTGAGCCCAGGCTTCGCTCTTTTCGCAGGGTATGCTAAGGCCACACACAATGCTTGCCTTACTTTAAAGCTATTTGCCACAGTCCTGTTCAATAGTGTGGAAGTCCTTTTGCAGTCTGGTGTGCATGCCATATGATCAGGACAGCTTTTCCATCAGGAAATATACTGAATTTATTCTGAAATGTCCAATCTGTATTTATGTACCTTGTCAGTGTTTTGCTGTTGGTTTTCTAAAACAATCTGATCAATAAATCTTATTCAAATCTATTTGGTTGAAGGCCATCTTGCCTGTCTGATAATAATTTGTGTGTCCATGAGCTCTCCTGTATGACATAAGCATTGGTGCCACCCACTGCCCTGGGGCAGCCCTTCTGCATGATATCGTGAGGCATCTGCCTTCCTCCCCTCCCCACTGTGGGTTCTTCTGTCTGCTCACCATCTGGAACACGGGGATACATGGACCTTTTCTCCATTAAGACATCATCAGCAAGGGGGCAGCTGTAGGGCAGGCCACACTCACTGCTGGACAAGTTTGTACGGCTTATTTACACTTTGCTGAAGACTTAGAGGAGCTACAGGGAATTCAAAAGTAGTTACAGAGTCATAAGACTTTGCAGTCCAAGGGAAAGGCACAGTGAGATCGTAGCGCTTTCCGTGTGTCCTTAGGGATGAGAGCACAATTCCTATGCTGGCCTTGGTTTTCCAAATGCTTCCCTCTCCAGAATCTCCACTTTAAGGCGATTCCCATCCGACTGACCTCCCAGCAGTATACCTCCCCACCTCTGTGAAGTCCAGAGCAGGAAAGGGCACCCAAGTCTGCTCACTTCTACGCTTCCTACTTTGCAGTGTTTCTATTGAATGATAGTTGGATCAGATGTCTCTTCCAAGGACAAATAGTTTTAGATGCTACAATGTAAATTTGTAAGGACAAAAAGAAAGTTTCTCCCATCTTACATAGGACTAATAACTGACACATATTATCTAGAGCAGTCTTCTTTCCTTTGGTTTATTTCCCTTACCTCTTTTAAAGTATATGTCAGTTTCAGTGGCTTAGGTGGTGCTATTCTTCCTGTCACATTTATAAAATTGTATTTTGTCAAAATGCAGATACTAAGGTACTGTAACTGAATAGCACAAGTGCATGTAGTCACTGCTTGAAGGGAGAGGATGCTGGTAAAGCCATCCCTCTGCTGCCTCACCTTCAGATGCAAAGCCCAGGTCCTAGACAGGCAGAGCTTTCTGCACTTACGGAATTGGCCCTGTCTGTACTGCACTGTGGCAGCCCCTATCCATATGTGGCCACCGACCACTTCAACAGTGGCCAATGTGTCTTAGGAACTGAACTGTGAAGCTGACTTAATTTTAATTACTTAAATATAAATAGCTTTACATGCCTAGTGGCCACCTGTTATCACAGTTCTAGAAGATGACTGGAGGGTTATCGGGAGAGCAGAGGTCCACTCTCGGCTCAGTCTGTGATAATCCTGCCCTAGGGCTGGAAAATCTGTCTTAGGGCACTCACCTGATATGTGTGAGGCCCCAAGTTCATCCTAGCACCATAAAGCAAATTTTCTGTCCTTTAAGTCTGTAAAGGTTTGGGTGATTCAGAGGCTGTGAGGAGAGTATTAGTGAAGTTCCTCAAGCAGCCTGGCTTATACTGGGGAATCTTTGAGTCCTGGAAGCTACTGGTAGAAAAAAATAGAAGGGAAGAGGAGCTATAAAAAAAAAACAAACAAAAAAACAAAACAAAAACAGGGCCAGGGAGATAGCTCAGTAGAATAAGCACTTGCCTGGCAAGCACAAGGTCCTGGGTTCAATCCCCAGTACCAGAAAAAATCTACCAGTTTTAAGTGTGGTTTTATCCCGTTGCCCAGAGCCTATTCCTTGCCAACCTTTCCATTTGTAACATCAAGCAAGAACATTTTTTAGGGGGTTTTTCTTTCACATACTTCATAGCATGGTGGGAAAGGGAGGTTCCCATGTGCACAAGCAGGCCCCTCAGGTTGGCTCAGTCTTCACAGGCCCATCTCTGCCAAGCAAGCTGCTTCTCTCAGTTCCTCTGCAAGAGCTCAGCAGTTCCCACAGGAAGGAGCCCGGTGCCAGTGTGGGGAAAAGGCCAGAGACACTAGGAGCCTGGGCCACATTCTGTGCCCATACCAGGCCAGAACGTTTAGAGCAGTACTGCATGTGGCCACAAGGAGAGCTGCTGGCAGTGGTCCTCAGAGGGGACAGACTGGTCTTTTGATCCTTTTTGAACCTTCCACCTAAAGCTGTCTAGCTTCTTGTGCTTAGAAAATGCAAGGATGTGCCCCAGATCTCCCCTAAGCTCTCTAAGGGAGCACATATGTACTTCAAACCCCCAAAAAAGGGCCGGGGAAATGGCTCAGTGGAATAAGCGCTTCCCTGGCAAGCATAAGGGTCTGAGTTCAATCACTGGTTCTGCAAAAAAAAAAAAAAGAGTACAACTGGGTCATTGAGGCACCTGGTACATCTGGGCTCTTGGTGCTAGAACCTCACCCTGCGACAGCCACGTTCAGCTCATGGCTCATGTGTCAGCATCTTCCTGCACTCACCCTGCACAGCTCACAAAGCTATGGTCCCAAGAATCAGAGTATGAAGACTACTCAGAGCTGCCTGCACACTAGGGACCCAGGACTAGAGTGCCAGCTTATGTCTGTCTTGTCTGCCTGCCATGCAGCCCAGTGTTTTTGCCTGCATTTTTTCCTCAGCAAACCTGTACTGGAACCTAAGCCTGGAGATCTTAGCCCCCTTTCACAGGTTGGCAGGCCAAGGCTGACCAAGGTAAGTGCTTTACCAAGGGAGTTTCCAGACCCTGGGAGCCTGGAAGAAGAAGCCCAGCTAGCATTGCTGTGAGCTCTCTTTTGAAGGAACTCTCATCCCCCTGCACCTGCTCAGCCAGCCTAGCCCAGTATTGTTAAAAACAGGACTTGGAGCTGGTGGTGCAGGGTGGGTTGGGTGTGCAGGGAAGCCCAGAGCTAGGTGGGAAGGTGGTGGTAGAAGCAGGCACTGGGTCCCCAAAGCACCACAGCTGACCGTGGACCACATCACTGGTTTTCAGTCTTTGGCAAGGTTGCCCTGTGCTCCAGCTCAGGTGTTGGCAAGACGGGCTGGGTGGCTTCTCGGCCACCCTCCAGTGGGTGGTGGGCCCTGTTCTCTAAGCACCTAGTGACTCCACAGTGCTGCACTTGGGATGTGGGATGTAGGACGTGGCCCTGCCTTCAAGGAGCTTCATTAGTAAAAGCGAGTGATCAGACTCCGCAACTGAGTAAGAGGAAAGTAACCAGGAGCCTCTGAGATAGACCTCAAGTAAAGACTGAGCTAGTGTGGAGGGGTGTTGGAAGGGATGAGAAAGGGCTACACACATTTCCCAAACAACACCTGGCTTCTGGTGCCTTCCAAGGGGACTCCTGGGGGCCCAGGGAAGAGCTGTGGGAAGCAAGGACAGAGGGCAGCGTGTAGCTCACGGACAGCTGGATGAACACTGGGCTTACAGCCTAACCACCGTGGGAAGCTTTAAGCCAAGGGCTGCACAGAAAGACCTTGTGGGCCACATGACCTACTGTCACTGCAGTGGTGCAAGCACGGGGAGGCACCAGTGGGCCAGGGGGAGCTTTTAGCTCCCTCACTCCAGCCTGCGCAGTGCTTATGTCATGGCACCTGCACATCACAGCAGCTGTCCAGCTGGGGATGACACCCTGAAGGTGCCCAAGTGCTGCCCTGCCCTCACTGTAGGACCTGAGACCCGTTCCAGTCACTTAGGGCATGCAGGCTCACACCCACTCCACTGCTTAGGCCCAGGTTCCCCCTCGCTTCTGTTCCTCTCCCCCGCAGACCCACTGTGCAGTTGCAGTGCCCAGGGATGGGGGGGTGGAGGGTTTTACACAGAACCGGAACCGGAATGATCTGGTTTGGGGGGTGCTTCCTCCCTCTTGCTCATCCCCTCCCACCTTTCCTTCTTTGACAGGCTGGTTTCTGCCGCAGTGGCCGACCAAGGTAAACAGAGCAGGGAGGAGGAAAAAATGCTGTTTCCATGGCAACCCAGAAGGCCTTGCTCTCCTTGGGGATGAAAGGGCTGGAAAGTGGCTCAGGCGGTACACCCTGGGGGTTGGTTTTGGAGCCTGGGGTGGGGGTGGGCACAGGAACAAGAGATACCCCTGTGACTGGGGTCTTACCAGAAATACAGCCATCAACCCAGGGGGCAGAAAGCAGATACCAGACCTCTGAGGCCCTCAAAGCATGTCTGGCTGGTTTTTCCAGAAAACTCTTCTGTGGCAATTTAGCAAGGGGCAGCCACAGTGGTGGGACTGACAGCTCCAGGGACCCAGGCCTAGTAACAGGCTTGGGCCTTGGCACTGGTGCCTATTCCCTTGAATGGGCTTCCTGGGTCCACCAGGGCAAGAGTGTCACTGAGGCCACCCAGCCTTCCTTGATGCTTTGATTTTAAATTGCATGACACCACACACATGAGCATTGTTCCTTTTTCACTTCATGTTCATCTTGTTCATTGTTAAGAGTGGAAGGATGTGAAGATGGGAGGCATGTCTGCCTTGTTCCTGTGTTCCCTGTACTCCCCAGAGGCTGGTACACAGTAGGTACTCAGTATACACTGCTGTGTGAATATGTGGGGACACAGCTCAGTAGGCTGTGTCCTTTCCCTGGTTTCCAAACACATAGACCTGTGCTGCCACTTTTAAGACTGGCTGTAACACACATGCTTCTAGGAAGTCACGAGAATGTATTGGGGTTACTCAAAAATAAAGACACTAGCTTTCACAAAAAGAATGCAGGTGGGGGCCGGGGAGATAGCTCAGTAGAATAAGCTGCCTGGCAAGCTCAGGGTCCTGAGTTCAATCCCCAGTACTGCCAAAAAAAGAAAAAGCAGGTAGCTACTGCTGTATCTTCCAGGCTTGGTAACCAGGGCCAGGCTTTATGAATTCTTCTAGGTGACCGTATCTGTGAAGCCACCCTGTGATCCAGTGGACTTCTGAGGATTGTGAGGTGTTGGTTCAGGGAAGCAGGTCTCTCGGCTCTGAGCCAAGTGGGGTGTGCTGAGAGAAGGGGAAAGCCTCCCTTTCAGAGTCTGGCTGACCTGTCTCACATGGGGTCCCTGACATTAGCACCCAGGGATTCTATGTGCCCCTCTGCTTCACAAGGCAGTGATGGTCCCCACTGTATCTTACCAGCAACAGCAGGTTCTAACAATTCCATCAGCCCAAGCACTACTTGTAGCAGAGTCATGTGAAATTTCCTGTCACACACCTCTTTCCTGATTGACCTACCTGATAAAACTCAGAACAGTGTTTATTGCTTTTTGTGGGGGAGGATGCTGTAAAGATTTACAGAGCCAAAAGATGGTAATCTTAACAGTAATTTGCACAGTGAATTTCAAAAGATCAAAAGTTAGCATTTCAGAGGTAATTTCGTAAAAAGGATTATCAGATTAATCACTGTGTTCATGTAATCATGGTGTCTGAAAAAATTAATTGCTTTTTTGAAGTTAGCAATGCAAAAAAATGTACTCTAGGAAGACTACAAATGGCCCTGTGAGATGTAGGCATGTTTTAGGCTTAGGCTCGGATCGGATTCTTGCTGGGATTACCCCAGCAGAATGTCTGGCCAGGGCTCACTGGCACAGGGACAAAGTAAGAGCTCAAAGCTACTGTACCCCCACGACTCCAAAAACCCTTCCGATATGACTGGTGGCAGCTCATCTTTGCCTGAGGAGCAAAGGCTGACCTGCCACATGATGAACTGTCCTTCCATACCTGGGAAGTGTCTAGCCAAGCTGTGTGTGTGTGTGTGTGTGTGTGTGTGTGTGTGTGTGTGTGTGTGTTGACACACTGCTGAGATAGCACATCCAGGTGTGGACTGCAGGTGCTCGGAAGTTACCTGTTAGTGCTCCATGCAGAGGTGCAGTGCAGTCCCATTGCCTGGGCTGGCTGCTTATATGCTGCTCGGATCTGTAACCACATGGCACTGAGCTGATCATCACAAGTCAGGGGCAGGCCACATACTCAGTGGTGTTATGGGCCGAACGGTATCCCCCCCAAGATACCTAAGCACCCCAGAATGTGATCTTTTTGGAAATAGGGTCTCTACAGAGGTAGTGAAGTTAAAGTCATTGAGATGAGCCCTAATTTGGTATGACTGATGTCCATATAAAAGGGGTGACTTGGACATATACATGTGGGGCAGAGTTGGGGGGATATAACTGCCAGTCCAGGAGCCGCAGATGCCTGAAAGCCACAGGCAGCCAGGAAAGCAGCATGGGACAGATTCTCCCTCACAAGTGAGTGCTGCTGGTGCTTTGATTTTGAGTCCTTCATGCCTCCATTGTTTAAGCTGCCCATCTTGTACTTTGTCTTTGCAGCCCTAGGAAACTGATACAGTAGGCCATCTGGAAGGAGGGGTATTGGCATTCTTGATGCTAAGTTCTTATATTTCTTTTTTTTGTGTGTGTGGTACTGGGGATTGAACTCAGAACCTTGTGCTTGCCAGGCACATGCTTATTCTACTGAGCTATCTCCCTGGCCCTAATTTTTATATTTCTTAAATTACATTTTTTAATTTTAAAAATTTCTGAGTTTGTTTTGTTTTAAAGACAGGGTCTTGCTATGTATTTCAACTTGGCCTTGAACTCATTGTGGCTCAGGCTGATCTCAAATACATGGCAATCCTGCCTCAGCCTTCTGAATGCTGGGATTACAGGTATGCCCCACCATGCCTGGCTTTAAAATGTATATATATTTTAAGCACAGGTGCAGGGCAGAATGTATGTAAAGAGGGTGAGGAGGAAGAAAGGAAGAGACAAAATAAGAAATTATATAAAAATACAAGTCAGGGGGAGAAACTTAGCTATTAGTGTGGCAGGGTCATGAAGAAGAGGTGGTGGCGGGAACGAGGTGGTGGTGGCGGGGGTACGAAACTGCGGTAGCTGACCGCAGGGCTGGTGGTGTGAGGTGTGGGAAGGGCGTAGGTCCTAGCCCTCTCGGGCAGCGGCCGGGCCTCGGGGCTGAGCGCGGCCGTGGAGCCGCCTCCCCGGGACCCCTGGCTCCGCCATGTTCCACAGGGCGCGCCTTAGCGTGAAGCCGAATGTCAGGCCCGGTGGTGGTGCCCGGAGCTCCGCTGCCGCCAAGCCACAGTGTGGGCAGGAGGCTGCCAGGCCACCAGAACCTGCCGCAGAGCCCGCTCCGAAGCCAGCGAAGCCCACAGATGTGCCCGCGGCGGATTTCGGGGGAGCGGAACCCCAGGAAAAGACTCCCACGAGCAGTGATGAAAAGATTGGTGGTGAAAATAATGTTGAAGAATCCTGTACATCATCCTCTTCTGTTTCCCAGAGGAGACAGCAACTATCAAGTACTTCTAGTCCTGCTAAACCTACTGTCAGTGCTCCTTCACCGTCTCCTCCCTTATCTACAGCTAATCAAGATGTTTCACAGCCAAGCCCCATTCCAACAAAAGAGAAACCACCATGCTCAGACAGATACCGAATATACAAAGCCCAGAAACTACGGGAAATGTTAAAAGAAGAATTGAGAAAAGAGAAGAAACAGTGGAAAATCACATATGCCATAAATGAAAACCAGGTGCCACCAGATCGTTCAAAAATGACTATGACAGACTTCATATATTATCTACCAGATAACAATCCAATGTCTTCTTCACTGGAACAAGAAAACTGAAAAATCATTGACTCCAGTCCAGACAAGAGGCACACAAGACAGCCAGAGTGCTCTTGATGCTGAAGACAATGACGCAGCGGAAGGGAGACAGATGATAGCCCATTGCTGGTGCCGAGAGTGAAAGTGGCAGAAGACGGTTCTATTATTTTGGATGAAGAAAGTTTAACTGTGGAAGTTTTAAGGACAAAAGGCCCTTGTGTTGTTGAGGAAAATGACCCTATATTTGAGTGTGGTTCTACAACTACATATTCCAGCTTTAGGAAAAACTATTACTCTAAACCATGGTCAAATAAAGAAACAGATATGTTCTTTCTAGCCATCAGCATGGTAGGAACTGATTTTTCTATGATTGGACAACTTTTTCCTCATAGAGCAAGGATAGAGATTAAGAATAAATTTAAACGTGAAGAGAAAACAAATGGGTGGAGAATAGACAAAGCATTCCAGGAGAAACGCCCTTTTGACTTCGATTTTTTTGCTCATTTGCTCCGGAAAGTTCTCGCAGAAGAAGAGAAAAGAAAACAAAAATCGACTAAAAATCAGAGTGCAAAGAAAAAATCTTCCAAACCTCGGAAAAATGTAAAAGGTAGTAAGTTTACAAAGAAGTGTGTGGTGGAAGCATGTGATCTTCCTCAGTGGTGGTAGACTTGCCTACCGTCCCATGGGCATCGAGAGTCTGTGCAGCTCAGGCGGAGATCATCAGAGCCTTCAAATAGAGGGAGTTTGTGTTTCTTCATTTTACTAGTTGGGCTAAAATAGCACCCTTTTCAGTTTTGTAGTTGGCACTGATGCTGTTGACATTGTTCTGGTATCTAGGCATTGTTGTAGCTGATCATAGAACTGATCAAATTGAATAAATTTTCTTACTATCAAAAAAAAAAAAATACAAGTCAGGTTAGTAGGTACAAAAGTATTCTCTGCAGGTTTGTTTCTGGTGCCAAATTCAGGATCTTGTGCTTGCCAGGCGCTTATGCCACTGAACTATCTCCCCAGCCACTATTTTTCTTAAAGAATTAGAAAAGACTCAGGTTCTCATTACTGCAGTTGCTGACCTGATAGCTCTGAACCTGGACCTGTGCAGGGAGGCAGGCAGCTATAGGGCTGTGGGCTGTGGGCCAGGGCAGAAGGGCTGCATCAAAACTCCAGAGCCTCCCGCTTAGCTCACAGGGTCTCTCTCGGCTCTACTGTGTCACCAAAGTACTTCAACAAACACTCAGCATGGGTTGTGTATGACCCTGCTTCGGGGCTGAGGGCACAGCTCAGGTACAGCATGCACTTAGCACCAGAGAGGTCCTGGGTACCGTGGCCACCACCAAAACAAACAGGAACCTGTATTAGACACAAAGGAATAAAAAGGAAACTAGGGAAACAGGAACCCTGTCTACTGTCATGCGTATTTCAGAAGTTGTTAGGAAACACATTTGCTCACAGAATGGCCCGGAACAAGATAAAGGGCAATATTCATGACTTAAACCTCAAGGCATCAAAAAGAGGCAGTGTGATGAGGTGATCAGAGGTGACAGTAAAAATTAGAGAAGGTTAGTCTGCAAGGACCACTGTGACCTGGGGAAATGTTTACTGCCCAGGTGAAGGTGGCCCTACCTGTGAAGGTGTGAATCAGAGGGCTGCTTGTGTGCTCAGCTGGCTTGGGCCTGCACTTTTGTGGGAAAGCACAGGCGATGGGGTAGGGGTCAGCAAAGAGAGAAGCCCGAGCCTGCAGCTCCCAAGAGGTTCACAGCTGGTTCCACATAAGAGGGGCTGCACAACACACTCCTAGAGCCAGTCAGGAAATCAAACCAGCCCTCCCCTGCCACAGCCTCAGAGAGGTAAAATAAATGGGGAGCTTCCCGATCTCCTAAGAATCAGGCTACCCAGTAACCCCCCCGACACCCCCCCAAACCACACAACAGGCCCTTACCACATCATGCATACTCCAAGCCACATACCACATAACCCCCAGAAACCACACGCTATCCCCACAAATCACATGTACCACACAACTCCACACAGCACCCACTTATACCACATCCTGCATACAGCCATGCCCCCACATGACCCACAGCCATACATACACACACTGCTCATACACGGGGAGCCCAGTCTGTAGCCTGGGCGTGAGTCAGAGGCAGAGATGTCTCATGGTAGTGCAGGCAGCCACGTCTGCCACCCACACAGTGTGACCTACATCTCCCTCTGTGTGCCCTCTAGTTCCTTGCTGTTGTTGCTTCTGCCTCCCCTGCCAAGATTTATTGATCTCATTTTCTGATGAGAGATGTATGTGGGGAGTGATTGGTGGAGGTGAAGGTGGCTGGGCCCAGCAGCTGTGGTCAGGCAGACGCAGAGGCAGGACAGGGAAGGACACCATGCTGTCCACCGCTGCTCAGCGAGGTCTCCATCGTGGGGCCTCCCTGGCTCCCTCTCCTGGGCAGCAGAGGTTGGAGTGACCTCCAGCTCCTGACTACACAGTGCACTCCAGGGGAAAACCAGGAGCAAGAGCTTCTCTCCGGGACACTCCCAAGAAGTGCTGGCGAGTCGCCTCGTGGTGGACGACTCCGTCACACCACCATCGCCTTGTCTGCCATGGCCACTGATCCCCACCTCACCCCACCCCTTCCAGGGCTCTTGGACCAAAACTCAGTGGAATGCTGAGGTGGGCAACATGGGGGACAGGACACAGAGGAGCAGTCAGCTCTGAAAAATGACGCTGAAGTCCAGTGTAGTGGCACATGGCTTTAATCCAGCATTCTGGGAGGCTGAGGCAGGAAGACCTCAAATTCAAGCACAGCCTGGGCAACACAGTGAGACCCCCTCTTGAAACAAAACAAAAACAAATAATGGGCCAAGAGTTCAGGATGAAGAGACCTGCAATTGAGCTCACTATCGGGGATAAAAATCATTTGGTGAGGCTGCCAGGAAAGAGGAACCCTCCATATCATTATGAGTGGGAATGTAAAACTAGCATGGAAATCAGTATGTAGATTCAGAAACTAAACTAGAAATAATACTTGACCTCGCTATTCCCCATGTAGGTACAGTATCTCCCTGAAAGAGTTAAGGACATCATGTTACAGTGATGCATTCATACCCATTTTATAGCAGCAGAATTCTTAGTTAAATCTTGGAAGCAGCCTATATATCAATAGATTAACGGATAATGAAACTGGTATTTACACACAATGGAGTACTACTTTGCTATAAAGGCTAAACTTCAGACATCTGTAGGAAAATGGATTCAGCTTGACACTATAATATAAATTTAAAAAATCAGATATAAAAGTTTTCACATGGTTTCTCTTACATGAGAAACCCAAAGTATAAAAACAAAAGACAGGCAATAGAAGATCTTTTTCCAATGAAGAGATAGAAGGATGAAAAAGAAGTGCTATGTTCATGTACCAACTCCATGCAAACATGTACTCTGCTAATAAAAATTAAAGAAAACCAATTGGTTTCTTCTGCTCATAACTCCCCATGCCATGAAAGGGTGGGGCCAGCAGTCTGGATGTCAGCAGAGAAGATGCCATGTTGGTGTGGCCGTGGCTGCTCTGGAGCTTCTTTGGCCAGGGCCACCATGAGTCAAGACTCCTTAGGTGAGTCAGAAAGGCACCTTTCCCTGCAGAGAGCTGCCTGGAATCCAGAGGTCTTGGCGTGTGGGCACAGAGCAGGAGAGGGGGGCCAGGGAGCTATTCGCCTTGCTAAGTTGGGCTGCTCAGGAGCCTTGGAGGCCAGCCAGGCCCAAAGGTGGAGCCAGCAGATGGCTCTGGATGCCAGCCAGGAGCAGGTGGCTGAGAAGCCAGGTACCTGGTCCATCCCGGGGAGGGCCCTCGTGAGCCTGGGCCCTGCTCTGAGACCTGTGTGACCTGGTGTGGAGCTGGTCCCAGGAGGCCCTAAAGTGCCTGAGGCTGCTCAGGAATGGGCTGCGTGACTCACTTGCTGCCAGTTGCTCCTTCTCCTCCCTAGCTTCCCCACAGTCTGCTGTCCCTGGAGAAAAGTGTACCCATCTGACAGCTCACCTACCCACCCCTGGTTCCCTGGGAGCACATTCATATGTCCTCGCTGCTGCCTTTGCTCCAGCAACCTGACCCCCTCAGCCTGCCATGTAGCTGCCACCTCCATCCAGGGCCATGCAGGCATGCTGTGTCATCAGAAGCCCTCTCCAACCACTCCTGCTGGCCTAGCCTGGAGGTGTCCTAGGAACAAGTGGTTAAGCTGTCCCTTCTCATGTCACTGTAAGGACTCCCCTGACTTCCCCTCAAGGAAGAGAACAATGGGGCAGCCTTGTCTCCACTTTTAACAGTCTAATCCAACGAGGTAATGGGAGGTCCTAGAGTGTCCCATGAGCCTGGCAACTCAGCACCATGGTGATGGCCTGATGGGGAAAAAAGTAGAACAGGCCAACTCCTGGCAGAGATGCCTCTGGTATCAGCACCAAGGTGATGTCAGCAGGGCTCAGGTGCTTCAGGGCCTCCTGGGCTTCTGGAGTCTTCTGTATAATGAGAGTCCAATTGCCTGATCTCTAGTGTTTTTTCCTAAAGGATTATGACTTCAGGAGTACAGAAATGCTAGATTTTCCTGTTTCCTGTCCCCACAGAAAGGAGACAGTGAGCCAGTTAAGGAAGTGCTTGAAAGGGGACTGATGAGTCTACATCCACAGCAGTCAATGTTCCTGGAGTCAGGCCCAACTCAGGCTTTGTGATACAACAGGGCCTCTCCTCTAAGGGCAAATTGCTCGTCTGATATCCATCCCTTTCCTATTGTGCTGGGATTATTAGCCAGACATAGCCCTGGCCAGACTCCCTTGCAGCTATGTGTCTATGTAATGAAGTGCTGGCCAACAAGACTTACATGGAAGTGTTTGCTACCACTCAGATTCACTCTCCTTTGGTGGTAGTGGGAGAAATTTATTTTGATTTCTCTGAAAATATCAGGAACAATCCCTGGTAACACACACACACACACACACACACACACACACACACACACACGAAATTAGTGAAAATATCAGGAGCTATGAAAAGCAGTATTTAGCCATACCAAAACAAAAATACAATTTAAAAATAATACCTGGTGGGCAGGGGAGATGACTCAGTAGAATAGGCGCTTCCCTGGCAAGCACAAGGGCCTGAGTTCAATCCCCGGTTCCACCAAAAAAAAAAAAAAAAAAAAAAAAAAAAAAAAACTGAAAATCATGTTTAATTTTGGGGAAACATTTAAAAGTACCAGGTTTAACTCTGTTTCCTACAAAGCAGAATAAGTTCACTAAACCATAACAATGGAGGGTGTTTTTCTTTACCAACTAGTTTTAAAAATTTTTAAAAACTAAAAGAAACAAGTATGCTCTATTCCTATGTTGAAATCTCTTCATTTATAAAATAATGCACTCAAACATCAGTGAAAAAAAAAAAAAAAAGATGAACCTGAAAACAAATCTTTCAATGAATTTTTTTTTTTTTTCTGGTGGAACCGGGGATTGAACTCAGATCCTTGCATTTGCCAGTCAAGCGCTTATCCTACTGAGCCATCTCCCCAGCTACTCTTTCAATGAATTGAATGCAGACTCCAATAAAGCTTAGTTTTTATTTTTTTTTTAATTTTTTTGTTTTATTTATTTTTATATATTTAGTATAGGGTCTACAGAATCTCAC